CACTGGTGTGTTGTCGCAGCAAGTATTTTTCTTTCTTGGACTTGGACATATAGCGTTCGTCCGTGAATTTTCTTCCCCACTACCGTTGGGGCATACAGGGTGCCCCCTATTGGGCTTCGCTCCGATCGTGAGTCGCTGCTCCTGCCCCAAAAGTGCTCCCATCCAAATGGGCCCCAAGGTTGGGTCGCATCGCTTGGCGTCGCAGCGCAGCGCTGCGCGTCTCTCTGCTTGCCACGCAAAAAGCAACATAAAATGTTGTTTTTTCTCTTGAATTGCTTGTGGCCCTGTATTCCCAAATATATGCTTAGAGTGTATCTGTGTGTCGGTCTCTCTGTGCCTGTGTGTGTAAGTGCGCTGGGGATCCGAGAGTGTGTGCGTGCAAGTGTGCGAGAGTTTAAGCTTAAAGCTATTGTACACTTGGTGTGTCGTGTCTGCCTCTCTCCGCGTCCCGTGCCCAGTTTCCCGTTCCCCGTCTCCCCTTTACCCTGCTACATGTCCCCCTTCTCGGGTTGCCTTTCCCCCATTCTCCATTTTGGCGTTGCCTTCGTTGCCGTCGTCCTCGTCGGCCTGTCGCTGTCCTTACAGGGAGCAAGCAGCCAGCCAGTCAGCCAGCGAAGCGGCAGGAGGAATTTTGGGGGAAACCCACTCAACAAACCGACGGAAGAATGCCCTTTTATGTTCGTCTGGTTATGATTGTATCAAATTCATTCAAATATTCTCTTACAAAATAAAAAAAACCCTATTCCTTGAAGGATTTTTGAGCTTACATTAATTCGGCTTTGATTCAATATTTGTATCTTGTTTGCTCTTTTTTCAATCTTGACTCTCTTGATTAATATATTTAGAGCTAAGAGGCTTTCTCCTGTACTAAGCTAAAGTGACTTTCTAACAGCAGATGCGCATTTTTACCCTTTTGTGTTCGTTCACTGATCCTCCAGCTCCAAAAACCCTCCATTTTGAGGATTACTTTCAAGTCTTGGTGCTATAAGCTTAAAGCAGAGCAAAATGGTGTTCTCCATTTGATTTCAGGGTATTCTACTCATGTTGCCTTTGCTGTTGGCAGTGTCGCCATCACCATCACCATCGTAGCCATCGCAGCCAGCTGCCTTTGCCTCTGCCTCTGCCTCTGTCTCTGCCCCTGACTCAGCCTCTTGTTCTTTCTCTGGCCCTGTCCATGTCCCTGGCTCTGGCTCTGGCTGTCTCTGGTCCTACGCTTTGCCAACGCATTTTTGTTTTGTTTAGAGCGCAAGTTATGCGGGCGCCAAGGAGGAGTAGCCACGTGGAGATGGTGGGGAGAGGAACGGCGGCAGGGGCATGCTTCTTGGTGCTGAGACAGCAGCACACACCCCGACACATGCCGACAGGTATCGAAAATGTTACCCAAAATGCAGCTGAGCTCTCTAGCACTAGCACAATCTCCAGCACTAGCTTTAAGGCATTCTGCTCCTGCACCACGTTCATATTCTCCTCTAGCATGCATCATCTCCAGCTCTGCAACTCATCTAGCTTCTCAGCCTCATGGACCCAATTCTTTAACTGCAAAAAGATAGAAAGAAAAGGCGAAGAACTGAAGCTGGCGGCCAAAGTTTGATAGCAAAGTTGGTCTTTAAGCTGACTTCACCTGACGTCAGACAGCACGCCGGAAGAACCAGCCAAGCAATCACACCACCACCCCATTCGAGCCACACTGGGCCCTGCCTCCTCCTTCTCTCTGACGCCACCCTGCCACACGCACCTTTACACATTTTTCCACTTCCTTTTCATTTCTCCACTGGGCTCCGACTCCGGCTCCAGCTCCTGCCCTGGGCCCAAGTCCGGGTCCGGGTCCGGGCCAAATGAAAAATTGCACACGCGGGAATTTGATTTTAACATGAGAAATAAACACAATGAAGCTGATGGCCCGGCCTGGCAGGCGTTGTGGCCCTTGCCGTGGGGCGGCCTATGGGTTGGTGGTGACACTGCGACTGTCATACATATTCCGTCCTCCTCCTTCTGTTTTTGGGCAACTTTAATTTGGAACTTTAATCAATGAAAAGAGCGCGAGTCACTTTCAATGCTTCAGGTACTAGTACTGTGGATTGATTCATTGTTTAACTAATGTCTCGTGCAGCGAATACCAAAAATTAGTAAATCATTTAAGGGGAACCTCCCATATGAGATGAAGATTTAAATTAGGCAATGTGCAAACGATTTCTTCAGCATACTCCATGCGTGCTGTGGCACATTCGAGGCAGATAAGCAAGGGAAGTCAAATTTCTACCCCTTCTAGCCCGGGCTCTCCCTCAAGCCTTTTGCCAGCCCAGCCACCCCTTTCGGATGGTATTTCCCGTTTGTCGCATTCCTTGCCTAATGCTGGAATTTCAATTTTAAAGACTAAACTTGATTACTGAGAGAGTGAGAGAGGCCTCTCGCTGAGCCACTACTGGGGGGATGGGTTTTGCTGCTGGGGGTAGTTCCCTATTGTCTCTCGCATGAATTGCCTTGAAGTTACTTTTAAGGATCAAAGTGACATAAGTTTTGCGCTCCTTCTGCCGTTTCTTCGCTTAGCTCAAGCCCCAGCCCCAGCCCCAGCACCATTCTTCGTCTTCGTCTTGGTCTTCGTCTTTGGCTCCAATTTATTTTATGCCAACAAAAAGTTTTTTAATGTAATTAAAATGGATAATGCCTAAAGTGTGTTTAAACCTAGAGCTATCGCAGCTTTAAGGGGGCTACCCATTCCCATTCCCACTCTCTCCGTCTTTCTTTCTAGTATCCTTCGCGGCTATCTAGCACAGATACACACGAGAACAAACACTCTGATACCAACACTGGCACACGTGCGCGCTGTGCCATAAAGTGCTCAAGTTACTTGCAGGGATTACCCACATGCCCACATACCCACATCCACTCGCACCCCCATGCCCACCCTCCGCATTGGAACAGTGTGGAGCAGAAGTTTTGGGGCCATTTTCTGGCCATTCTTCAGACGATCCTCGGGCCGGACCACAGCGCGTATGCGTCATATTGAAGCCAGTTCCACAGTCCAGGCTCAGACCCAGGCTGAGTTCCGGCCGCAAGGAGTTTAGCACTTTCCAATTGCTGCAACTTTTTTAGCTACTGCCGCTTTTCTAGAGAAAAACCAAATTTCCCAACTACACACAAGGACGTGGAAATGGAAGAGAAGGAACAGGATGTGCGGACGGTCGCACAGATGAGGCGGAAGCACGGACAAACAAACGGATAAGAAGGCAGGCAGCAGGCAGCTGAGGGAGGGAGGGAGGCAGGGAGGAGAACAGCGGACGCGGCGCAAGGAGCAGCGAACAAACGAATGAAACAGAACCCAAGAACGAAACGTACATGGAAGATAAGCGCACAGAGTGCGGCACTGATAACGCAGGTCCTGTGCCGTGCCGCCGGGGGGAGGCCAATGGGTGGCGTGGCGGCATGATGTAGGTGTGGGGCCAGGGCCTGGTGAATTTTAACATTTTAGAGAAAATGCGAACGGGAAAATTTCGAACGTCAGGCTAGAATGTTCGAAACGAATTGTGTGTGCGGGCTGCGGAGTGTTGGAGTCGGTGAGAGGGTGGAGATGGAGCTGGAGCTTGATCTGGGGGAGGGAATGCTCCACACACACACACACAGAGAATAAAGGGGGAGGACTCTGTGTGTGTGTGGGTAAGTAGTAGCTGCGCTGGAACGAAACAATTTGTAATTTATTTGCGAAGCGTGCGATGTGCGCTGTGCGAAAAGTTGAGGCAGCTGCCAAAGGCGTAGCCCTCGACCATAGGAGAGACAGTAGCTTCAGCTGAAACTGAAACTCGGTCTGGGTCTCGACTGAGACCCAAACTAGAGCTGAGAGCACGCGTAAGCAGATACACAGATGATGTCCTCCCCTCCAGAACACACACACACACACTCAGATAGCCAGAGACAAAGGCAGCGCGTGGGTGGTCCCCTGGTCCTGCTGGGTCTCTGAGTGGAACGATGGTGGATGTACTGGCATCCATCCACAGCGAGGGGTTGCTGGTTGGCTGCTGTTGGTCCACCGCCTTTAAAGACCTTTCAACTTTAAGGCGGAATGCCATCCATAGGTGCAACCTGTAAAAGTACCTTGGCAAACGAGATAATTTCAGATGGTACGACACGGATTTCAAGTAGCAATTCTGAAATTTATTTAATGTACTTTAATGTTTTAAAATTGAATGCTTTACATTTTGAATTTAAGTTTTTAATCAACTTTGTGTGGGTTTTTGTGTGTGAATGGGCTTATGTGAATGCGTCAATGGATGTGTGAGTAAGTGCAGGTTTATTGTTTAATGCTTCACCAGCTCTAAGCATCATTTATAAACTATTCGTATAGGTGTTTATTGTTTAATCAAAGCTGAAGTTTGTTTTACTGGAAGTTATTCTTGCATCACTCCGGCAGGGCAGGGCAGTATTGTATTCGAGTGAGCTGTATCTCCAATGCTGTGGGGTCCATTAGTGGCCTTATTAATGGCGACTAAGTGCCGTCTGGGTGTGACTTGGGTGTAAGTTGTGGGGCTAAATAATCTATCTCAAAATGCAAATATCAAGCACATTATAAACCATTATATCCTTTATCCAATATTTAATATATCAAAATTCATCGTTTTCGTTTTCTAATTAGGTATATGGCGGAGAAGAGCCTTTGGGGCTCTGCTAAGTACAAAACTTGTATTGTTATTAGTTCGAGTATTTTTCTATTGTTTGCTTGGAGGGTTGCCTATGTGAACAAAATGGAACCTGGAGTGTGGCCTGGGTCCTTTGGAGGTTGCATGCATGCATCTGTGTTTTATTTTGTGGTAACTATTAATCAGTCTTGTATACAAAAGAATTAAAATTATCGAATTGTCTATAACCATGCTACATCGATATATCTTCTCCTCTCCTTGTAGACAGCAGCATTGCCTAGTATTAAAAAAAAGCGGTTACTAACACACAAAACCATGTTGCGGGTGCTTGGACTTCGTTACAGATTTACTCTTAACAGCGAGATTAGCTTTCTTTAAATCATATTTTAATTGAAAACTTATTAAATAAACGATATCCTTGTCGAAAATATACATGATAAAACATACATATACAGAATATGCATTCAGCGATAATAAATTAGGAATTAGAATTACAATACGAGACGGATACACACAGTATCTGTTGGTAGAATATATACAGGGGTAGCACATTCGCAGGGGGCTGCAGAGGGTCGTGTAAATGCGTTACTCTCTTTTGTCCCGCTCTGTTTTTGCCCCCTACTGGCCAGGGCTGGAAGTCGCTGAAGCCATGCACCGGGGGGCTTCGAACGTTGCCTAATACTCAATAACTTATGGTGATTTCGATTTACATATGTTTCGGGCCTAACAGTTAGAATTTACAATTTGTTACTTGTACACTTAGACGAGGGAAAGGGGCAGGGCGGGGCGGGGCCTGGGGAATCGTGGCGCACAATATCAAAAGGTAGCACGGGCTTGGGCTGGCAACGGGCCGCAAATTAACTCCGGCTGTCGTTGCTCTCGCTGAAGCTCTGCTCGCTGGACTCGCGCCGGCTGCTCACCGGCTTCGCCTTGTACTCTGTGATGAAGACGGTGACGGAGTTGACGGTCACCTCTCGTGTCTGGGCCGTGGAGCGATCAACGTTCTTCAAACGGGCCGGGTATCTTTTGTGGCGCTGCCTGTCATGTCCACTCCCGTGCCGTGAACTGGAGGCGGATTTACCGTTGGGCATGTTGCCGCTGGCTCCGGGCAGTGTGGCTGCCTGCTGTGCGACTAGCGCCGAGTTCAGGCGAGGCTTTCGCGTGGAGGTTCCTAAGCGGTGTGAAGGGAAGGAACGAAGAGAGTGATAGTGAGTGGAGGAGAACATCGTCATTTGACAAGAGCAAAGAAAACAAATTACGCGCACAGCGAACGATTATTCGCCGTCCTTCACGGGTAATTGAAATATGACGCAGCGGCCACATTCGCAGCCGTTGCCACTGTCGCAGCCGCTGTGGCCGCAAATGAAATCGAGGTCACTCACCTTTCCTCACGTCACACATGCGGCACTTGAACGCCTCGGCCGAGTTCCTGTACGTGCAGACGCTGCAGTCCCAAAAGTTGTCTTCAATCACTTTCGCTTGGCGCTTTTGTCGTCGCACGGGCGATGATTTCTTGTCCATAATAGAAACTGCCTGTGGTGGCGATTAAGTGAAATGCAGCTGGGCTGAATTTTCCTTTTCCACCGTTGTTGTTGCTGCCTCTGCTGCTGCTGCTATTGCTGCTGTTGTTGTGGCTGCCGAAACGCAGCGCAAATGCTGGCAATTCTGGGGTGCAGCCTTCTGGCACACACGCACAACTTGCTTAGAAGCGTTTCTTAATGCTACCAACAAACATTGGATGGTTAATTAGATCTTATTCGGAGGTTTTTTGTTGTGAAAAAACTTTCTGCCAGTGTGACCGCGGACCGTCGGACTCCCGTCCGACCCTTAGAAATATACCACAATATACCGTCCAATTTTAAAAATATACCGTAAATATACTGACGATCTCAAGATTATTATACATATTCCTCAATTTTGATATTCCGTCCAATATTACTAGCTAAAAAGAATTCCCAGCTATGCCCAAATAATTGTATACAAATAATGAATCTATTTTGCACTTGACTGGTTGATTTTAAAGTCTTGCTTTTGTTGGATTTAGTCTAAAAAAAGGTTTTAGCGAAGAAGGTCAAATAAAAAAAAGACTTAATAAGACGTAAGAGAAAAATCATTACTATTGCTTAATTTTAATATTCCGTTGAATAATTCTGCGTAACTAAGACTCTCAGCCCTGCTCACATAATTTTATCAGATTAATTAATCAATTTTCTACTTTACTATCCTATTTTAAATACTTGCTTTTACTTGATTTTGCCTAAAATATGGGTTTTTTTTGCGAAAAAGGTCAAACAAATAAAACGTAATGTAACGTAAGAGAAAAATCGTTAGTGTTGCTCAATTTTGATGTATCGATTACAGAATAATCGCCGATGAGGTGGCAGCCCTATCGAACATAGCGCAAATATTCAACGGAAAGTTCTTCGCGTTTTATTAAACATTACATTAATGTATTAAACATTATTTAAGGCTAAGAAGCAGCATAGTGACGATGCACGTCGACCTACGCCAACGCGGTGCTCTTAGATGGTGCGCCAAAGGCCAGGCGACAGCAACAAGAAGCTTTTGTTTTGTTTAAGGTTAATATATTCATTTGCAAATAACTAGGCAAACAGCTGAGATAGAAGCTCTTGTTTGTGTTATATATGTAGTAGGTACCACCAGATCACATCTCATCGTAGTCTTATCTTCATTTCAGTCCGTTGGGACTATATGCGCCGAGGAAAGTGTTGCACTTGCGACAGTAGTGATTGCCAGTGCGACAACTGTTCATGCAGTAGGGCACAAAGCAGGCAAAACAGCACCACCTGAGCGAAATGAGAATGTTTAATACGAATGAGCACACGGAAGCTATGGATTTCGGACTCACCCCACCAGGCATAAAAGTCCAGCTCCCATATGCGTGCGCGAATTGGCCGTGTGGGTCATACGCGTGGTCTTCTGGGCCCCGCAGGCCGGGCACAGTACTCTGCAGGGATTTGGACCCAAGTTCATTGTGTCTGCAATTAGACAGCCATGACGTCAGAGATGGCCTAACAAAATAGCCAAGAAATTACTTACCCATTTGGACGACTGTCGGCTGTGCTGGTTGCTCATACTCGTATACCACATGCGGCGGTTGTTGGGTGACTGCAATTGCTGGTATTGCTGGAACAGTCACTGCGTTTGAGCCTATTGCCACATCGTACGATGGCGGAGCCTCCACAGGCACCAGCTCAGGTCCAACCGACTCCCTCGTTGGCGTCGGCGTCGGTGACGGTGCGCTGGGCGTGTTGAAATCCACCTGCGGATAGAGCATGGCCCGCTTTTGATCCATTGCCGTCGAGTGCGAAGTTCAGCTTTCAATTGTTTGCAGGTAAGAGATTCAAGTTCTTCCACTTCTATATTATATACATATATATGTGTGTATGCCTGTAGTGTATGTGTAATCCCAACTTGGTTTTTGTTTACTGTGCGAATTCACAGATTGGCGTCGCTGGTCGTCTCTTCCGTTTCGCTCTCTGCCATCTACTGCCTACAGATTCAAGTTTTGGCTTAGATCGCTTCACAGAGCGAGCTTGAAAGCTTTCGGAGTGCGGTTGGGCAACCTTTTCGGCAATTGCAAAACGAAAAATATCTTTGAAATTGTACAAGTTTTTAGCTTGAAGCTTTATCTAATGCACACAATGGGATGTATACTCAACCTATCTCACGTACAAGCATAGGATGCGGCCACAGATACAGTAAACACTGGTTGACGACCATCAACAGTTTATTATCTAAGTATTTTATAAATGTGAAGCATGAAAAGAGCGACGAAACAGATACAGAAGGCCATCAAAAGCTCATCTCCAGATCATAGTACCCGGCCTCCCCACATCCGCCTCATTTGCGCTGGTAGCTGCCAAGATAGTGGTCGCACATGCCACAGTAGTGGTTGGTGTTCATGCAACTGCCAATGCAGTACGGCAGGCACACACAGCAGTAAAGCCTGTAATAGGAAGATATCAGATTACCGCAGCAGAAGCAGAAATTAGCCAGCATTACTCACTGGAAGAGGCATAAAATCAGGGCAATCAGATGGGTGCGCGAGTTGGGCCGATAGGAGACGCGGGTGCGCGCGTAATTGTGACAGTAGGGACACTGGATGTCCATGGGCTCTGGGCCGTAAATTGATCCAGGAACCACCACCACTGTATGCTGGGCCGGAGCTGCAGTTGGGGCTGGCGTCGCTGCGGGTCCTGTGGTGAGTGCCGGAGAGGATGTGGCCTGATCGTAGCTCGGAGGTGACGGTGTCAGCAGCTGCTGGTGCTCGGCGAGGGCTTCTCCTGTACCCTTCGAGGCCTCCAGTGGAGCGGCTGGATAAACGGGTTCCATATTGATTTTCGGGGTGTGAATGGACAAATGACTCGTCGGTGAACGTCAAGGCAATGGAACGCACCGAAAAATTGTTGACTCGTATCGCTTCTTATCAATTAAAGCCGTTTAGTGGTGGAAAAGCTTTCTGGCCCGTCTGTTTACACTATGGGGAAAAATGTCTTTCGTCTGTCGACACCCAGGCAAAAATGTTCGCACTCGTATATGATATGTGATGATGTGATGGGATCGGGTCGGTTTGTTTATTCGGAAAGTATCGATCCCCATAGCGACTAGTCGCTGCTGTAGACGCCCACGAACTTGTTGCAGTTGCCGCAGAAATGGTTGGCATTCATGCAACTGGTAGCGCAGTAGGGCAGGCAGGCGAAGCACCAGAGGCTGTTTACGTGGACCAGTTAAAGATTAGATAACCAAGACAAAAACGACATTAGATCTTACCCAATGATGCAGAGGAGGGCGGCCATGCAGTGGGTGCGCACACTGGGCGCATATTCGACGCGGGTCAGCTTCTGGACATGGCAGTGGGGACAGGTAATGAAGCTGGCGTCAGGACCCACAGGCAAAGCAGCTTGGTCTGGAAGAAATCATGGCCTCAGCCCGGCTTGGACAGAGAAATAGATGCCACAATAGGCCACTCACGCTGAATGATCACCACGGGTGGTGGCGCACCCTGGACCTGAACTCTAACGGGAGGTGGACCCGGGACATGTATGGCCTGCTCGTAGCTTGGGGGCTGCGGCTGGTACGGATAGCCACCGGCTCCAGGCTGTGGCTGATTGTACTGCATTTCAGTTTGATGGTCGACAGAGAACTGATTTCAAACGACGAACTTTCGCGCAACAAATTTACCACAACAACAGTGCTTTTGGCCAAAAGCTCTGCTTTCCTGCTAGCTTTTGCACTGTCTCATCTATGCGCTGCTTGCTCGGCTCAGATAATTTGAGAGCTTTTTCCCTTCCACCCGTTTTATAAGACAGAAACAACAAGTGGAATAACTTTGAAGAACGCGGAATAATATTTGATCGTAATTAATATTTGATCATATTGGTTATCTGAATGTTCGTGAGTATGTATATATATATATATATAATATTATATTCCTTTAACATATCTTAATTACGTCCATCCAGCCGCAGGATCGGCATGTATGACCCTGCTTATACATGCCCGCTGGAATATATGGCCGACAGAAGCATAGTTCGCTGAAATGAATTCACGGGAATATTATTATTCAGATAATACCAGGCGCACACCGAATTGCTTACACCAAATTCTTCTTTAGTTTCTTCCATCCCGAGCGACTAGTACGGATTTCCAACTTGACGGCCGTTGACTTGCATCTGGGACAGCATTCGATTGGAATACGGTGATACTTGTGGTGAATCCGGTACTTTGCCATCCTAGCAGCAATCACATTAGCTCTTATCTCCTTCTTTAGGTTTTCACGCCAGTCCACAAACAACGCAACAAGTGCCGCCGGGCCGTATTGTGGAAGCAGTTTGTACGGCATTCAGTTCGCGAATGATGCCTGAGCACACTCTGATTCCGATAAAAAAGCAATGCCCAGGTTCAGCTCAAAAATAGAGCTCTGCGGGGGAGTTAGCTCTGGATGCGCCTGGTATCCCACGCACAAACGGTTTCGGGCTGAAAGCTATGAGGGTACAGCTTTATTGACCTTATCAGAGGCTGCAGACGCACCTTTGGATAAACGAAATGCACTTTTCCGCACTTTCAAACAGCAGTTGAGACGTCACACAGAGAACTGATTCCTGGACCATAAGCTCTAGAGTTTCTTTGTGCAACATGCATCCTGTCCCTGTGTGCAAATGTGCAACAATGTTGCTATCAGCTGCCGTGAGCTTCATTAACAGGATAGCTTTTCATCCCGGGAATTAAGTAGAATACACACATATGTACATATATATACACATTTTTCTGGACATACATTTATTTTCGGAAACTTATGTGTTGATTTCAATAGTTTCACTATTGTAGGATCCTATGTAGTATCTTCATTTAATCTTAGAAAAATTCAATTCTTTTACCATTTTCGGATCTTGTCTGTCAGTTGTAGATTTTGGAATGGTTGGGGCCCTCCCCTTTGAGCATCTTTCTGGGACTGCGTTTTGCAAAATGATCTTTTATACTCTAATCCCAATCGTCCGAACTGTTGGAAGATTCGTCCTCGGATAACTCACTCAGACGCAATTAAATAATAGTTGTTATTTGATAAAAATATTTCAAAATGTACCCCATCTCAAATTCCCATACCTATTGATTGCACATGCGTTACGCAAAGCGTGGGGGCAGCGGTGCAGCTGGAGGAGGTTGTGGAATATTTAGGCCTGGGCGTAACAGGAGGAGTGACAGCTTTTGGCAAAGCCCCTGGACATTTATATAGCTATCACTGTATGTTGCAGTTGAGGTCTGCTCGAAGCTCTGGTTTTTTATACATTTGGCAAAGTTGTAAGGCATTGTATAAAATTATAAATTGAGATACGAATGTAAGCCATTACGCTACACCGCAATCATGACCTCTGATTTATTCTTTAAAATGTACAAGTTACAAGTCCCGGCAATGTCATTTTCTTCCGGATAAGTCATGGAGCAACATGTGGCTGATGACTCCTGATGCAACAGTTCTATCAACATTTCTCCTGCTGCAACAACTCTCTCAACACGTTGCTGGTTGCTCTTGATGCAACAGTTCTCTCAACAAAAATGTGCCACCAGTTGCGGAAAGCTTTATCAACGAGTCCCTCTCTCTCTCTCTTCCTTTTTAGTGTACCTCCTGAAAATTATGCCTCAGATATACATAGATATAATTTTATAATTCCTTTCACATTTGGCAAATATTCATATTTTCGTTATTTCTGTTAGGATCCTGATTTTGACCAATTACTCCGTTTCTACAGCCATAACTTCATGAAATCTAATTAGTTAAAGAACTCTTAAAATAATATACATCTTTCTTCCTTTCTTTTCCATTCATGATGCGATTCCTGTAGTCTTTTTGCATTCATAGCTGCATCTTTTCGAGAAACTGGGTGAAGAGGTCCGCCAGCCGCACGACCGGCACTTAAAGATCGTTTTATATCGAAAGCGAAAGCAATAGAGGGGCCTGAAATGCACTCCATGAAATTCAATATTCTTACTCTTTAAATACTCACGATAGACTGGCCCGAAGTTTCTGCCACCAACTTAGCCTTGAATGTCGCTTTCCGACCATTGGGGCTGCATCGCAGTGGGGGCAGCTGTCGTCACCATACTCTTCCGGCGCAGGTTCTGGCGGCGGACCCGGAGCTTCCGGCGGCTGAGTGAGATTTCTATAGACTTCTTGCGAGCGCATTTTCCCTGCAGGTCTTCTCCGAGCAAACATCGTTTCGGTACTGAGGCTGCAGCCAGCTCTGGTCTGCGTCATTTTTTTTTTTTAATCTCAGTTTCCGTTTAAGTCCCCCGAATACTTAGAAGTCCCGAGAGACCAGCTGATAAGTCTTGAACGGAATGCTAGCGAGTGCTTTTATTCATAATCAATTTCACAATATATAGTATGTGTATATATAATTTTGATTGTGAGATAATTACGGGAAAAAATACAAAAAATCCTCTCGAATCTAGTTGCTGTAGGACCCCAGGTAGGCACCACAGCTGCTGCAATTGTGCTTGGCCGTCTGGCAGGAATTGGTGCAGTAGGGAATGCAGACGCAGCATATGCCCCTGCCAAGAAAAGGATTAGTCCCCGATGTCCCTGTTTCGATTGTGTTTAACCTACCCCAACAGGCAAATGCCGAGAGCCAGAAGATGTGTTTTAGTGTTGGGCTCAAAGGTGACGGCCGTCTCCCTCCGGGAGCCACAGCTCTGGCATGTGGCCATAGCCGGAATATCGCCCAGCACATTGGGGGCTGCGCGACGAATTGAGACGATTTGAATATATGTACTCCAGGAATCCTTCAGGTGTCGTACTTACCCTGCATTGTCACAGCAGCCGCTGGCTGGACAACCACCTGATGGGGAACCTCTGGCATATCAAATTGGCCGTATTCTGGCGGAGCGGTGCCCTTATAATCCATTACTGTGCTATGGCTATTTCCGTTGGATGTGTGAAGCGCTCGGTGTTCGGGCCGGAACTGAAGTTCTAACTACGTAGCTGTCCAGCGGAAGGTCTCGTCAATTCAGATTTTACAAGTGAATAGTATGTCTGCGTATGTATGTTCGTATGTGGGCGAGAGGCCGCGATAGCGTCGCTATCAAAGTGCTGAAATTTGTGGGTTTATACTTGGCTCTGCCAAGTTTTATGTTTTTCTTGATATTTATAAAACAAAGATTAACTGGAAGCTTTTCCAAGGAACCGATTGCAGTGGCTGCAGTAGTGGTCCACGCTCTGGCAGCTCTTCAGACAGTAGGGCAGCGGCACCAGGCAGAGAAGGCTAAGAGCAGAGTGTGGAATGAATGGAAAGACGGCATCCCCTACCGATGGCCGAGACTCACCCCGTCAGACAGAGAGCAAAGGCAAAGGCATGGGTGTGCTTCGTCACTCGGGGCTCCAGACGGGACTCCATCGTGGATCGGCAATGGGGACAGCACAGGATCTGGGCCACAGGTCCCAGCTTGGACTGTGCCTCCCCTGTAGCAGGGGGAAATTTGATCAATAGAATCATTTCCACAATCACCCCAACACTCACTTACCATTGGCATTGATCACCAAAACCGGGTTTTGCTGCGTTCCTGGAACAAGTACAGGCTCCGGTGACGCCTTGTAAGGGTAGGCTGTTCTCTTGAGGTCCACGTCCATGGCTGAGTGCTCAAATAGGAGCGGGCCTGGCCTTGCTTTATATCTGCGGCCACGTGTCACCTGCTGGCCATGACGAAGAACCCTCCATTACCACTAATATCCACCCATTTCGGGGCACTCCAATTTGCGACGCGTGGCCATGAACTCTTACTATAATGGTTTCATATGTACTTACATATATAAACGTATGGGGCGAGAATGGGTGTAATCGTAATGTAGGTTAGGAGAGTATTCAATTTTAGATATTCCCGTGATATTTTTGAAACGTTATCAACTGATGATTTTATTGTTGCGCTGTGGAACAAAATAAGCTCAATCTTACTCTACAATATTTTGCTTGACATGAAAATGCTGCGTAAGAATAAATGCTTGTGCGAGGCAATGATATAGATTTAGAAAAAGTAGCGTAGCATTCCGGCATGGCTGCTGGGGAGCGGACCAGAGAAAGCCTGGCTTCCACTCAACGCTCGTAGGATCCAATGTAGGCGTTGCAGGAGGGGCAGAAGTGGGCCGTGTTGCGAGCACATTCCGTGCAGTAGAGGCAGCACGCGCAGGGAAAGAGGCTAATAGAGAATGAAGAGAATTGGGCTTAATGGATTGCGGTATTTGGTTCGATCCCACTTACCAGGTCAGGCACATGATCAGCGCTATCAAGTGCGTCTTGGTCGAGGCCTTTGGCTCGGTGCGCGTGGTCACGTTCTGGTGGCAGCTGGGGCAGATCAGGTTGCTGGGCTCTGGACCGACGGGTGAGGACATGATACTGATGATACTGCTGCAAAAAGCGCAGGCAGACCCAACTGATTATCGATTGCTGCACCGACCTTGAGTCCCGTGGGGACAACTACTGGTTCGCGTGCAAGTGGAATTGGACATGAAACATGAATTAATTTCGGAATTCCACAGAGACCCTCTATAGCACCCGGTGGAGGTTATAATTGCATAGAAGCGACACATGCATACAAGTTGCGCGCGACCTTATCTCTGTTAATTTCGTGTTGAAATTTACTCGAAAACTTTTCAGCGCCAGTCGACTTCCTCTGATGTCATCCATCCACTTGCCGCAAGAGACCGACCCGCAAGAGACCCTTCCATCTCCTCTGATGTCAGATGGCGGAGGAAACTCGAAAGTATGCTTTGGATGCCGTCATTCTCTTCAGTGCTCCTCATCTCCATTGCTACTCTTTCTAAGCAATCACCACGGACAAGACGGCACTAGTACCTTGCCAATTTTGTTTGCCCTCCCTCCCAAAGTCAACAAAAAAATCTATTTATATTCAGACTCGGCCCGACGTTAGTATCATCATTAGGCCAAGGGTGTGTCCAGCCGTCCAATGCTTACCGCCCTCACAATCTATCCACATGACCAGGCAGGCCTATGCGTGTCTTGGTTCAGTTACTCCTGACGGAGCGAGGAACAATGCTTTGAATTGTGGCCGGGGCGACACCTCAAGACAAACCATACCTAATCTATTGTACAAAGCACTGAACTCGGGTTGAGATATTGACACAGCTTCTAAAGGTATCGTATATACTCACAAGCTTATAGGTGCCTTATCAATCACTCAAGAAGAAATTTGCGGAATAATCCGAATTCAGGTGCCGCCAAAATGGAAATGATTTCAAATTCGCAAGTGGAAAACCGGGACCCGCACATGGCCAACACGAATGACAATCGGTAGTAGCCGGCAGCACGCCACATGTTGCAGCAACAATGTTGCCCAGTAAAAAACAACAGAAAACGCAATTAGTTTTATGGGATTTCCCGGAATCCGCTTCGCTTGCAAAGCCTTTTTTTTTTTTCGCTTACTGTAAGCAGAAATATGAATTTCTTTATTTCCATCTTCGTCGAGTATGTTTTGCGTGGGTTATTGTATGATCAAATGTCTTTATGTATATACATATGTACGTATATATGTATGTTTATGATTATGTTAGTATTCATGTACATATGTTGGTACACACACATGTCGATTGTGTGCAAATGTTCACTGGGTGCCTTAGAACGAGCCCAGGCAGGCGTTGCAGTTGGGGCAGAATTGGCTGGTCTTGTAGCAGCAGTTGCAGCAGCAGGGCACACAGACGCAGGGCCAGCACCTAACGGACACAATTTATTTATTCAGCGCGATCGACGATTACTCATCGCAGTACACTTATATATACTTACAGGAAAAGGCAGAGCAGAGCTGCCAGGCAATAGGTTTTGCCCGTGGGATGGAATTCGGTGCGCACTCGTATACGGGCGTTGCACTGGGGGCAGACCATGCCCCGCTGGTTGCTATTAACTACAACAGTAGTGGTGTGGTGGACCACCTGAGGAGGTGCAACCTGAGGCGGTGGAACCTGGGCAGGTGGCTGCAGCGGCGGATAGATTGCCTGTGGATCATATTGTGGTGCATACTGATTCATTTCAGTATGCGGTGGAGCCGATGCCTCGTCCATGTAAGCCGGTGGTGATCCCAGTTTGCTGTAATCTGCCATATCTGTTCGGATAGCTTGGATGTATACTCGAAGTGTTTTCCAGAGAGCATATTACTCGAAAAAACTGTAAAAGCTCGCAACCTGTCCACTTACTGTAAAGTGCTAGCGATAACGAAGTGTCTTCTTCTCCATGAATGCAAAACCCTGCGGAAAAGAGCTGAAAACGTACTGAAAATGAAGACGAAAGTTGAAACGAATGCGCAGTCGTGTTCGGCTATTTGTGATATCGATAGGTCTATCGGCAGAGATGTGAGTGCTAATATATCGCTTGGGTTTCATTTTGCAGAGCTTTCAGCAACTTAAAATATAATATGTTTATATCCACCTGAAGAAAAGGTATAATATATGATCGTCTTGCATTGTCGGTGGTGCTTTCAGAAAATTTCAAACGAGTATTTGGTTTGAAAGTATGGTCTACATATATTAATGGTTTCTGGTAATGATACATTTAAAAATACTAATCATTATATCGAATAGGTTCCTATGTGGTTTCCACAGTTGGGGCAGAAATGCCGGACGTTCTTGCAGTAGTTGAAGCAGTAGGGCAAGACGACGCAAGGCCAGAGGCTAGAATCAAGTTTATCTGTTTATCCGACACTACAATGTCCGTACATTCCTATCCACTCACCAGCAAATGTACAGGATCAAGGCGCATAGATGGGTGGTCTTTGTGGAGGAGGTAATCAGGCTGGTCTGCACCTCACCTTGGCAGGAGGGACATCGAACTTGCATCGGCTGCCAGCCAACTTTCAGCGAGCTATCTCCTGTCCCAATCTGATTGAGATTATAAATAGGTTGCTGGTTCGCGACCACAGTGCCGGGTGTGAGGGTGATTGGTTGGCTGACCGGCTCAAAGGTTTCGGCGGTTATTACCACCTGCGGGGTGTTCATGTTCATGGTATGACATGCACTGAAGCCGTTCCGGGAACCCATTTAGGGTGGGTGTACTATCAAAACTTTGTTATCTCTTCTGACTAACCGGCGATATAACTTGAGTTGAGAAATCGGTAATGACGGTTAAAATGGGTGCTAGTATTGGTATGGGTAAACGTAAACGAGCCATATCGATTGGGTTAATCGAGCGGCATACATATGTATGTACAGAAAATTAATCCAGAAAATGCTTTTGGATATAAAGTAATGGTCAACAAAGATTATAAGCAAGTGAGACACATCAGAAGTGTCATACGTATAAACCATATGCAAGAAGCTTTAGACTAAGTAAGCAAATCGTTGAGTTTATCGCATTTCCTTTTCCTGTTGGAATCTTGTGTTTAATGTGTCGTCTTGTGATGCTAATACAAATATATTTACAGTTGATTATAGTACATAGTGTGACGTTAATGGATAGGGCTCGTACATAGAAATGAACATTAGTTCTCGAAGGTGCCGATGTATGCGCTGCAGTTGGGGCAGTAATGGTTGGCGTTCTGACAGGAATCCATGCAGTAGGGCAGGCACACGCAGGGCCAGCAGCTATGGGTAGAAAGAGATACACGGAGAGTGAGTAAAGTAAACAGCTGAAAGGGTAGAGTTTTGGGGAGAGTTTTTCATAATAATGGTATATCTCCCAATTAGTGTGATTGCAGTACATATGTCGGTGTATTTGAGCCCCTAATTCGGTTCAGTCGTCCAGACAATCGGTGGAACAAATGTGTCTGGCTATTTCTACTGCTGTTCGTCAATTTGTTATCTGACTCAACTCCATTTCCACTTGCGATAACAACCCGTTCGAGTGTTGGTACACCCATAACAGTTGACTCTCTTTCGTACACACACATTCACTGTCACTCGCAAGTGGCGATAAGAGAGTGCGATTGCTATGTACAATACTATTTACCTTCTGTTCGAGAACAGCATATACATATGTATACGATATGTGTAATCTGTTCCAGTGAGGAAGACCATTTTCAGGGCCATTACTTACATGAACAGGCATAGGATCATCGCCCAGCAGTGGGTTCGTCCCGAGGGGGTGCTCTTCACGGTGGTCAGCACCTCGGCGTGGCAGGAGGGGCAGCGAATGCGGGTGGGGCCGCTGCCGATCGGCACTAGATTGGAGGTCGTCGTCGTCTGAATGATCACCGTGGATTGCTGGGGCGGCTGTGGCATGGGTGGGTACAACGGCGGCTGTGTGGGACCACCTGGTTGATATGTCTGTGCCGGGGTGAATCCGCTCTGCTCGCTGTATGGTGGAGGCTGCTTGCTGTCCATGTCTGTGTTTTCGATTGTGCTGCGGTTTTTTTCTAAAAACTGGAGTACCGTCCGGCTTGCTGGTTGGCGTTGCACTGAGGAGCCGTCTGAGAGTGGAGGCCTACAAAACCTTCCCCCCGAGAGCCACTATCATAATCTTATCGCAGCTCCAAGCACCAGGGGATTTTCAGACACATTCATAAAAGGTATCCATTGTATCTGTATTGTTTTTTATTGTACAGTTGATTTAGAGAGAACAAGTGAGATTGTGAGTCGGGGAAGATGATGATTCACCTCGTAGCACTGCCCTAATATGCCGCTGATGAATAAGCGTTAAAGTACTGATAGATTGACGGGGAATGGCTGCTTGCCTCGCAATAAATAGTTTAATCTAAAACAAAAATGGGTGCGGTGCGGGTAAGGGTAGTGCAACGAATAATATCGTTGGAATGAGTACAACTGGAGCAAGTGAGATGAGGTGAATCGGAGATATCAGAGCAAGTCATGAGAGTCATTCTCTGAAATACCAGTTCTAAAAAATGATTGCGAGTCGGGGCCCTTTTAGGAAATACTTCTCTACAGGTTTTGCATCGAAAGATCATTACTCCAGCCTCTCGCAATATAATTTTCACCCGCTTTTAATATGTATATACATACATACGTATGCAGCTGTTGTTAAGCAATATGAGAGCAGCTACATTTCAGACCCCTAACGGGTTAATAAGTGTGTTTTGTTTTTATGGGAAAAGCTTCACTTGCCACCCACTCGATGAAGTGCTTTCGGGAGCTTTCATCGCTTTGACTTTGGATTCAAGTGCAACCGTTAACATTTCAGCCATGAAAATAGTGTTAGACAAACAAAGTCTAGAGCCGGCGGGGGCCTGACAAAACAGACGAACAACTGGTTTTGGCCAAAAGATCACCCCTCCCCCCCCCCCTGCTCAGCTCAGCAAACATTAATCCAATGCTTTTTATGTCTTGAATGTTTCAATAGTAAGGAAATAACCCAATTTATAGGCAAATAGAAAATATTGTCTCGTCAGTTCAACAACATGAGCCGGCAGCTAAAGTTCAATGTGCAAGTCGAGGATCCGTCGTCGTTGTCCCCGTCGCAGTGGGAGGAGGAGTTCCACTCAGAACTGGTCGAGATCAACCTTAATCCCAACTGCGGCCAGGCCAAGCAGCAGTCGGCCCAAGACCTGGACAAACTGCTCCTGGCGGCCACCACGCCCCCACATCGCGGCTATCCCTATGGTTATGCGGACATTGATCCCGGAACGGATTACTACTTCTGCAAGAAGTCCAACTCCACGGGTCAGCTGGCCCAGAAGGTCTCACCGCCGGCGCCCGCCGCCACCAACATCAGTTGCCTGCGGCAGATGTACTGCCCGGAGTGCCACGAGCGGTTGCACGAGCAGGGGGTGCGTCTGGAGCGACTGCTGACCATGTGGTGAGTGGCCAGGATGGGGTATAGGTATAGCCATCCACTGATCCTCCTTTAATGCTGGTCTCCGATTGTTGCAGCTGCTTTGCCCTGCTGCCCATCTATCCCTGTTGCATGCGACGCTCCAACAACGACTGCAAGGTCATCTGTGGCAAGTGCGGCTATCTCTTGGGTGCCTGGAAGCGGCAATGATGATTGCTGGTCGATGGGAAGTGGAGATGGGGAAGCACTCTATGTTTTTCGTTTGTTTTATTTAGTTTTTAAGTAATTTTGTTGACCTTGGGACGAGAGAAGATGATACATTCCAAAAAAAAACATTGTTTCGTTTCGCTGAATCTCTTTGCTTGATCTGCCGCTCTTCTGGTGTCTCTTTGGCACGAGCCTCGCTCTTCTGTCATCTCTTTAGTGGCTCATCGCGTGCTCAATCGGTGGCCAAATTGCTTGGCGCGCTGTCTTGGGCAGTCGCAATGCCGAGCGAGCCGAGTAAGGAATTGGAAGAGGTGGATGTGGACCTGGAGGTGGACAACAATTCGGCGGCCACCACGGCCACGCTGGAGGGACATCATGACGGCAAGCCCCAGGTGAGGTTCTTCAGCATCGGCCCCAGCAGCTACCAAGTGCGCTGTCCGCTCTGCCAGCAGGACTCCAAAACGGAGACGGTGGAGATGACCGGGGCCCTGGGCCAGCTCAGCTGTTTGCTATCCGCCCTATCCTGGTAAATGGCAGACTTTTCTATATCTACTCTCTCGCAGTTCTCTTTCAACTCCCAACCCCCTTGCAGCTGCTTCCCGATCTTCGCCCTGACCTTTGTGTACTCGTGCCTGCAGAGCCGCCTCAAGACCAAACGGGTCTTCTGCAGCAGATGTGGGGGACATCTGGGCTTCCACTGGCGTCCCACTTAGCCGACCGACGTTCGAAGTGCCGGTTCTCAAGAATTAGCCAAGTGATCTATAAATAAATGCCATCGGCCAGCTGCTGTCTAATTTTTTAATAAGTAACGCGTTATTATTCGGCCAACACTTAGCTGGCTCTTCTTCCAAAAAAACATCTCGCGCTCTCCGTCTCACAGCGCCCACCCAGATTTAGATACAGATACTTTTCTGCCTCTGGTCTCAGTATAGGTCTGTGCGTCGTTGCTGTGAAATGGCCAGCACCGAGAGCCTGGACGGCAGTGCCTGCGACTACGAGAATGGGGGCGGCGTCTCGGCCGTGCCACAGGTGGGTCACCTGACCACAGCGCCGCAGGAACTGCAGTGCCCAGCCTGCCGACAGTGGCAGACTACGCGCCTGGAACGCGAGGCCGTCACCTGTCTACAGAAAATCGCCTGCACCCTGAACGTTCTTCTCTGCTGGTAGGCCCAATAAGATCCGGCCCCATACAACGTGCTCTCTCTCATATCTATCGATTCTCCGTTTAGCAATCCCATTCGCTGGGAGGGACGTCACGATGTCAATCACTATTGCGGCGCCTGCGGCTGCTTCATTGGGCGTCACATCTCTTTGAGCTGGTACAAGCGCACCCTATTCCGGCTCCAGAGGGGCGAAGTGGAGGACAATGGACGCTGGCAGCGCTTCCGCAAGGTGGAGAAGGAGCAATTGGACGAAAAGAAACTGGGGAAGCAGCGTCAGGCCCTGGATCGGCAAGCAAACAAATGAGAGAAAATATTAATAAAATAATTTAATTTATTTGATAAATGTAGAGGTCAGTCCTCCTATTCGCGGGTTCAACAGGTGTCGATACTCCAGAGGGCTACCTGTACTGGATCGATTCTCTTAAACCGAAGCCGAAATAAGAGTTCCCTCGAGCCAAAAGCTCGAGAGCTCCAGCTCTCCCATCTTTGGACTTTTTCTGGAAGAGCGCCGCAATCTCTGTTCCCAGTTGCCTTTTATCGCTCATTCGCAAAGCTTATCGAGGCGCGACCCTCATATAAGCGCCCGAGCCCCCGCAATAGAAAATACAGTGTATTTTTGAGAGGTGTGCTCCTCGCATAGTACGGATAGATTTCACAACGAATTTCAACTACTAGAAGGCCATAGGATGTGGGCTATTCTAACCCTGCTAACCCTGGCACTGGGCTTGCTGTACCAGTTTGTGAGGCGGCACTACAGCAGCTGGCAGAGATTGGGCGTGGATGAGGAGACACCCAAGATCCCAATGGGCATACTGGACACTGTGATGAAGCAGGAGATGAGTCTGGGCATGGTCCTGAGCGACATATACAAACGCCACCAGGGCAAGATCGTTGGCATTTATATGATGAACAAACGGAGCATTCTGGTGAGAGATGCCCAGCTGGCGCGCCAGATCATGACCAGCGACTTTGCCAGCTTCCATGATCGCGGAGTCTATGTGGACGAGAAGAACGATCCGCTATCCGCGAACCTCTTCAATCTGAGGGGAGCCTCGTGGCGCAACTTGCGCAAAAAAATGACGCCATCGTTCTCGTCGGGCAAGATCAAGGGCATGTTTGGTACGATCGACGATGTGGGGGACAAGATGGTGCAGCACTTGAAGGGCGTGCTGGAGAGGGCGGGGGCGGACAATGAGATCGAGATTAAGGAAATGATGACCACCTATGCGGTGGACATCATTGGGTCGGTGATCTTTGGCCTGGAGATCGATAGCTTTACTAATCCCAACAACGAGTTTCGGGCCATCAGCAACGAAGAAGCTCGGAGCAAGTCTCTGCTGCTAAAGATCCATAACATGGCCATGTTCATTTGTCCACCGTGAGTGCCATCCGATCTTTAATCCCCAATTCTGGACCCATATCTAATTCCTGATATTTCCACAGCATTGCCAAGCTGATGAATCGACTGGGCTTTGAGAGCGCCATTCTCACAGCTCTCCGGGACATGATGAAGCGCACGATCGAGTTCCGGGAAAGCAACAATGTGGTGCGTAAGGATCTGCTGCAGCTGCTCATCCGCCTGCGCAACACGGGCAGGATCGGCGAGGATGACGATGAGGTGTGGGACATGGAAACGGTCCAGGAGGAGCTCAAGGCCATGTCCATTGAGAAGATCGCTGCACAGGCCTTCCTCTTCTACGTCGCTGGGTCGGAATCGACGGCGGCCGCGGCTGCTTTCACTCTCTACGAGCTGGCCATGTACCCAGAGCTGCTGAAGGAGGCACGCGACGAGCTGGACACAGTTCTTCAGAGGCACAATCTCGAGGGAACGGGAAAACTAACCTACGAGGCAGTGCAGGATCTTAAGTTCTTGGATCTCTGCCTTAAGGGTGAGTGCTTCGCCTATCACTAATTGAATTCGATCGAATTCTTTTGGATTTCCATGGCAGAAACCCTTCGCAAGTATCCTGGTCTGCCCTTCCTCAATCGTGAGTGCACCGAGGACTATCTAGTGCCGGGAACCAGGCATACCATCACCAAGGGCACGCCCATTCTGATCTCTCTATTTGCCATTCATCGGGACCCTGTCTATTTTCCCAACCCCGAGGGTTACGATCCACACCGTTTCGATGCGGATAATATGAACTATGACCAGGCTGCCTACATGCCCTTTGGCGAGGGTCCCAGGCACTGCATAGGTGAGGATTCACCATAGATTGAACTTGTTTGATATGGTTATATCTGGTTATATGCACTTCTCACAGCTCTCCGCATGGGAGAGGTCAACACCAAGGTGGCAGTGGCGAAAATTCTGGCCAATTTTGATCTGGTTCAGGCCCCGCACAAGGAGGTGGAGTTCCGTTTCGATGCTGCTCCCGTCATGGTGCCCAAAGAGGGTCTGAAATTACGTTTGAACAAACGAAAGTAGGAATTCGAGCTCTAACTAAATGGATATATATATTGACGATAATTGTTGTTATATGCAAAAAATACTTGCTTTTGATTTCATATCTCTCTCAATAAACAAAGGGAATATTTACCGGTCAACAAACGGAAGCTTGAGCTTTAAGCTCCCTCTCCTCTCTCTCTCTCTCTCCGTTTATTTGGCTTAGCTTTGCAAAGTAAAAACAGAGTACAGCTGATTTTTTCCTCTCAAGAATAACCGTTGAAAGCAATACACTGGCACGGAAAAGTCTGCCCCCACTCAAAGTGATCCAATAAATTATTTTACAATGCCCTTTATCCAGTGCTTAGAAAGATGACGATGATGAAATGTGAAATCTGTTTCTTTAATATGGAATTTGTTTCTCCGACAAATTGCTCCATTTATTGGATAAACAAAGAATGCGCTATTTTGATCTGGTTCTGCCTGACTGCCGATGACATCATAGCTCTATGCAGCACACATATCAACGTATGCGAGCTCTTTGGGATTCCATTGTTCACCCGCCGCTCTTATGCTCTTGGCGTCTCTCACAGCAGCAGTTCTCTTAACCACATGTGGCTGCTCGGTTGTGGTTCTGCTCTGGCGGAGGTCAGCAATCGATGATCGGGCTCTGGTCCAAACAGTTACAATGGAACAGCACCAGCCAGTGGAGAGATTACAGGTCAGGCTGCTGCCCGCCCAGACGGCTGAGGAGCGGGCCGGTAACATCATAGCCCATGTGGTAGTGGAGGGTCATCAGGCCTCCCTGGTTCCCTACATCGATGAGCAGAGCTGCGAGAAGGTCACGCTGCGCTCCCATTTGGAGGCAGCTGCACCACCAGTCGTCCAGCAGCCTCGGTTGCGGTACTATGCCGTCGGCCCCTCCACCTACAAACTTCTGTGCCCCCTGTGCCACGAGAGGAGCGAGGCGGCCGTAATGCGGGCGGCCAGTTGCAAGGATGCCAGTTTCTGCCTCAGCCTGCTCTCCTGGTGAGGATGCTCATCAAACGGGACATAGAACAATAGATACATTTCCCACTTTCTATCCGTGTTGCAGCATCTTTCCGCTCTTCTGGATCTGCTGCGTGTGCACCTGGTGTGGCTGCAACCGAGAGTGGACCACCAAAGGCGTCTACTGCAACCAGTGCGGCGGTAAGGTGGGCATCCAGCGCAAGGCCAAGTAGTCGGTGGACCAATTAAAATGGAATTAATGCCAAACATTTTCAGTTATAATTCTATTACGCATCTAACTCAATTAAAGAAAAATCAAATAAATCATCTAGGGGCTCTCTTTCCCATTCACTGTTCTCCCAATCATTGGCTCTCTTTGTGCTCCCCCAGAGAGATGACTCTCTTTTGGAGAAACCGAACAGGTTGTCCGATCGTGGGGGCCACGATTTGGTTTCAGTTTCGACTGCGACTGCGAGTACCGACGATGTCAGCGCCACTGACGGAAACGGAGCAGATGGCCAAGGCGGCAACCGCTAAGGCACTGGAAGATCGGAAGGAGCGCAAGATCTATGATAACTTTGCCACGCCCCTGGCGGGTACCTTTCTTAATCTGCCCCACGAATCGGTGGTCATCAAGTGTCCCGCCTGCGGAGTCCAGGATCAGAGTGTGGTGCAGAACGATCTTAAGTGGTGGGCCACCGAACTGAATCGCATATTCGGCTGTCTCTTCGTGTAGGTTGAAAAGGCTCGCAGCGAGTCCTTGGAGTCATTTTATTTACCATCCCTTAAATCCTTGTTGCAGGACCTGCTGCTGTTGCTGCTGCTTCAACTACTATGTGCCCTGCAAGCAGACGGATCGGAGTCACTACTGCGGCAACTGTGGCTGCTACTTTGGGCGTAGCATGAAGCGGCGGGCGCCACTCAAGCTGAAAGCAACCAAGTAGCCCAAAAATATTTCAGCTATTTCACGTTTCTCCTAACAACCAAAAACAACCCACTCCCCACCATGAAAACAGAAATATAATTAACAAGAAAATACGATCGCTCGCACTCTCTTTGGGTCTCTCTCCTCTGTTTGTGCGATCACTTCTCTTCGTTCGGTTCAGTCTTCGTTTGCTTTCGGACCAGTTCAGATCAACACCTTCCGATCATTTGATTCAGTTCGCCATGGCCCAGGATCTTTTGCCCGTATACTTTGCCGTCGGGCCTGGTCCCAACGAGATCACCTGCCCCCACTGCAGCACCAAGGCCAAGACGCGGGTGGTCCGCTCCTGGCTGCGCTTCTGCACGAAGAGGCATCATTGCGGCGCCTGTGGCGAGTACTTGGGCGTGTACCGCAGGCCCCAGCTATAGGGAGATCATTCAAATGTAGCAAACAATAAAGAGATCTATTCAATGTGTTCCACGCGCCTAATTAATTACCAGACCAACGCCTCACCACACGAGAGAGGCACAATCTCTCGCTCTCTGGTTCTCTTTTCCGTTCGATTCACATTCTCTGGCCATGTTCAGTCAGTCAGCGGGCAGCAGTAGACAGCACAACATGGGCATGGACGAGCCGCAGATCATAGCCATCAGCATAGCGCCCAAGCAGCAAGTGGGCCACCTGAAACCCGAGTCCACATGGGTCCACTGTCCCGCCTGCGAGCGGTCCGAGTGGAGTGTCGTCCAGCTGGAGGCCGTCACCTGTTTTCAGCGCTTCCTCGGCTTCGCCAACCTCTGGTGGGTGTGGGCCTATACGTATTCCCTTGGAATTAAGAGAATTAATTGGATAAATTCTCTTCCTTCAGCAAGAAGTGGCCTGGCCGAACGGACATCAATCACTACTGCTCCCAGTGTGGCTGCTTCATCGGACGGTTTGTCGCCATCAGCTGCATGGAGCGCTGCATCTCCAAGTCGGCTAAACGCAAGGCGGCCGTGGACGACATGACGCTGAAGACCCGCCCCAAGGACTGTGCCGAACGGGCCCAGAAGTCCCGTGAGAAGGTCCTGGCCAAGCGGGCTGAGAATTCGCGGGAAAGGATCTTGGCCGATCGAGTAAAGAAACAGGCCGAAAAGGATGCCGATGAAACACATGCCCGACTACAAAGCCGCGGACAAACTCAAATCCAAACACAAACCGTTGTGGTCACCGTTCCAGCGAGCCAATGAGGAAAATGGTTTCTGAATCGACTAGGTTAAAGCTGTAAAAGCTTACAAGAAAGCTTGCCAAATATATAATAGTACGAACAATTTGAAACATATATAAAACACCCCCATATGCTGATAGTCTTTACGACGTCTTTGCGCCATCACGGGCGCTGGGCACAAACTCCCTGCTCGGCTTGACGCAGTTCTTCTCCCGATCGTAGATGCCCAGGAAGGTCTTGCAGTTGGAGCAGTAAAGGTACTCGCGATTCTCCGGCGGCAAGAGGCAGGGCAGGAAGCAGAGCGGCCAGCAGCTGATCACGCACGAGGCGGCACAGCCATGGTTAGTAATGACCTCCGTCCTGGACTTAATCAACGGCCGGCGATTGCAGCTGCAGCTGGGGCAGTAGATGACTCCGTCCAAGGGTGACCAGTGCTCGATTGAGGCCCGATAGCACTGTTGTCGGTTCTTCATGGTCTTGTCATTGGTCGCCGGGTTGCCGCGCTGCTTGGTGGAGCCTGACTGATTCTCAGATCCTTCCGCTTCCTTCCCAGATGCTCCGCTACGTCCACTGCTCGGATGCTTCGCAATGTCTGCAATCAACACAGTCAGAGGTGACTCTCGATTTAGCCCACTCCCTTCACTTACAACGCTCCGCCTCATCGGCCATCTGCGCCTCGGTCAGGCCCGTCATCTTGCCGATCTGGGACACTCGCTCCTCGCTCACCCCATGCTCGGCGGCCAGCTTGTACAGGTTCTTAATCTTGTCGTCGTCGCGCTCGAAGATCTCGGGGTGCTTCTCCTGGATGTGAGTTAGCAGGGCGTTTGTGTCATATCGCGAGCACTGAACCTCCTGCATGCACCGCAGGCACCGCATCGTCCGCATGTCATGTCGTTCTTTTGCGGACATGATTTTATTTTACTACCGTTTTTGATACTGAGGCTCTTGAAAATGTTTAGATAGTATAAAATGAATGGAAAATCAGGGCATTCTGTTGAATGGAATAAACAGAGATCCGCCTAGCATCAATCAAGTACTCTAAAGTACTTCTTTATGATTTTCCATTATCAAGAATGAGGGACGAGCAGTATTCTATTGGTTTTATATGTTTAAAAATTTAAAAACAAGGCTTTTTGGAATAAGAACGCTTTCCCTTAGTGAAGGAGTGTCGCAGCTACTTCAGTGTCCTGAAATGGTGGACGAGACGCTGTTAACAGCCCAGTCAAACAGCCCTAATCAATCACATTAACCCTCATGAACATCAAGAGGAAAAATGAATAAAGAAAAGAATAAGAAAATCCCTTTAGCTTGTCAAGTATATTACATATTCAAGAATGGAGTTTGAGAAACCCTTAAACCAAATCAATGAAAGAATTTTCTTTAATGTGGTTTCGTGAAAGAATACCACAAACCAGCACAATTACCACCAGCAGGTGGTATCTACCATCTACCAGATCTTTTCATATATGGGACCACGAACTCCAATCCACTTAATCCAATCGCTTTGAGTCACCCTGTATTTTCATAATGCTCTTTGACTGCGTCAACATTTTATTGTCAGTCATTTTCTACCGGCAGGCACCCCGTCGTTGATGAAATCAGCTCCACTCACGTGGCCCATGCCGTGCCCGAATGATTTTAAAGGGGGCTAAGGAAGGCTCTGCTGAGTCGTTCCGCAGCCCCTGTTTTTGGGGCTTTTGAGTGTACGCGTATTTTTCAACATTTTGCTAAAATTGATTTTTTACTGCACTTACGGCATGATGCGACCATTTCGGGGTTCCACATGGCTCCACAATCGTCTTTCCCCCCCAAATTCAGCTTCTTACTGTCCCATCTACCCCAACTCCCCTCCGCTCTTTTTTGCTCTCTTTTGCTGTGGCATTGCTCATACGCCTCGTGGTGCGCGGCACACAAAGTCGATGTGGCACCTAAAAAGCCAACGCGTGTCGCTGTCACTTTCCTCAATGCGTCTGCATTTATTTACTTTGTTGTTTCTTTTCCTCCTTTTCTTCGCCAGTTTCCCGGCTTGTCTACGCACTCGAATATGTCATTAGAGCCGGCACAAAGGATCCGAGTGGAACCGGAGGCTCGACGCTCGAGGTGATTTGCATTTATCCGTCTCAGCACATGGGGACGGAGTACTCGTACTAGGGGCGGATACGCTTACGCTTATTCCGAATAACTTGACTCGATTCTCGTTTATTCTTCTGTATCTGAACTTACAAATATACAATATACATACATCATACATACATTCAGTGTCTACGACTAATATAAAAATACATTTTATTTTCATTTATACTTGTTTTGTGTGTTCGTTTCATTTTTGTTTTGTTTCGTTTGTCCTTGTTTTTGTTTGGTAGCTTTGTAAGCTTTTTGTTAACGTTTTCCTTGAAGTCGCTTGGGCTTTTTTTGTTTGGGGTTGTCCTTAAAGCGAAATTGTGGTGTCCTCTACAGGAAATGCAGTTCTGACTCATGATCCCCGTCTACATATCATTAGACTCTTCTCTACTCCTGTTCTAGGTAGTTCAGCAATGTCTCTTGTTGGTCAGTTGTTTGTTCGCTATATTGTATTGGAGTGGTTTACAGTTTGGATGCCCTTTTCCAGTAATCCTCCCATCAGGTTTATTGTAAAATGATCCTAGCCTAGGCAAACAGTCGGTTGTTCGCTTGTAAAATTTGACTATACTTAATATATGTACATTGGATCGTAAGGGGCTAGCTTTATACGCGCCTGACTCATCCTGGGCCACCACTTCTGTTTCTCTCTCTCTCTCTCTCTCTCTCTGGCTTGCTTTCTCTCTCATCCCTTAACCTAACCATCATTACACACATACATACACACACACAAACTTTGAGGCACATTCAGTTTTGAATAATTTTATAAATTTATAAAGTTATCTACACTTCCCTTCCCTGTCGTGCTCCTCCACTCAGCCAACACCCCTAATCCTGTTGTCCATTTCTCTAAAAACTAATTGTAAAAATTAAAAATTGATTTACCTGCCCCTAACTTTGACTTCAACTACAGTTTGGCCCCTGGCCAAACGTCCCTATCTTCGCTTCTGCAACTTTAATGCATTTATCACTATATTCCGGCGGACACTGGGGCGGAGGTTGGTCTGGTTTGGATGGGTCTTTGGGGGTCTTAGAGCGTGTTCTGCTTGGCAGCCTCGCCACTTTTGGCAGTCGCGTCGGGTCGCGAACGTGGGCGCCGCTTGGGCTGCAGCGAGTAGAGACGTCCGCTGCGGGCTCGGGTCTGTGGCTCGCTTTCCAAGCGCCATGTGCCAGCACCGCCACTGAAAAAGGGGACACAGAGAAGGGCACAGTGTGTTGGGTGAGCTAGCGAGGACAGGATTCGAGGAATACTCACTTCATTTCCAGCTTGGCCAGTCGCTGCTTGATCTTGGCCTGGCTGGCCGTGTACTCGGCCAACAGTCGGGCCAGGCGCATATTGAGGTTCTCCACGGAGAGCTCCAACTTCTCGATGCCGCCCTCTATGCTGTCATGCACGCGCTGGGAGTCTGGAATGGAGATTGAGGGATAGAGAATTCCCGAGGATGGTTATGTAGAGCTCGTAACGCACCCGAAAATATCTGCTCGTCCAGGAGTCCATCCTTACGCAGCAGCTGGCAGCCGCGCTGGGTGAGGGTGGACCGGGCCTCGGGATAGTCGGCCAGCGTCTCCCACAAATCCCGCTTGGCCAGGCAGAACAGATCCGAGTAGCCCAGGGAGCGGACATTGGCGGTACGTCGGTTGCCCGTCCGATTGCCGGCAATCTCCAGAACGGACACCTCCCCGAAGACGGAGCCGGCGCCCAGGGTGGCCAACACGGTGATTCCATTGTCCCCCACCACCGACAGCTTGCCCCGCTTCACGATGTACATCTCCTTGCCCACATCTCCCTTTCGACAGATGTAGTCGCCGGGGCTGAAGACCTGCAGCTTGAGCTTGAGCACGAGGGCCTCCAGTAGGCCTGGCTCTGTGTCGTGGAAGATGCGCACCTGTTTCAACGTGTCCATGTGCACTTGGATGGCAATCTCCGCCTTCAGCTTGTCCGGCAGAGCGGCCAGCACTCGTTCCTCGTCCAGGGCGCCACTCTGGGACCAGGTGTACGCAAACCAGCGGATCACCCGCGCCTCCAACTCATGACCCACGCGGCGGAAGGCCATGTACTGCTTCACGCCATCCATGCGGTTCTGGAACTCGACGCGGGCCACATTCATATTGGAAATCATGGAACCGATGTTACCTGATAGAGGTAAAAAGAAGAGATTTGAAGTGTTGTTTTATTCAGTCAATGATTAACCCGATAGCGATATAAAACCCGAAATTATCTTTCGGGACATCACTAGGAAGAAGATCGTTTCTGAAAGCATTTCATGAAGGTAGTTTCATAACCGGTTCGTCAAGCGTTTTCCCGCTGGCATAACCCATACCCTATACCATGCAGCCATGTCACTTTTGGACTCCATTCCGGCACATGGGTAACATGGCACAATGGCGACTAATGGCGGCACATCCGGTGGCCATGACAGACTGTTGTGGGAGTAGAATGGAGTGGAGTGGAGTGGAGTGGTGATGGAAAAGTGTAGTGTGAAGGAGATGCCTCAGTGAGTCCTGTCCAAACGAACTCGACATTCATCATTGTAAGTAAATTTGTTTGCACAGTCAGGATGAGGTCGAGGAGAAGTCTGGCATCTGCTGGTGCTGCTGCTGGTGCCGCTGCTACAGAATGCTGCCCATCTCGGGACGGTAATGGCAGCGATAAGGGCAACGACAAAAATGATAAAAAGGCACGTTTGTTAAAAAGAAAGGGCGGGCGGAAGGCGACAGCAACAAATCAACCCAACAAACAAAACAAAACAAACTTGAACACAACTGAAGAGAACTGAGGAAAGGAAAGAAGAACTGAAAGCGTAATGAATAATGTGGGACGGATGGATGGATGGTGGGATGGTTGAGTGGGGCAGAGAGTACGTGTGGGTCGAGACCCTGACGTGCGTGGCTGTAAATTAATACCCATTGATGTCCCAGATGTCACTCTGGAACCAATTAAACGATCAGACGAAATATTTGCGTAAACAACCCTCACCCGAAGGCAAACATAAACCGGACCC